AGGATGCCAAGTGCATTCCTGACGTGTAAATCCAACAGCTGCGTGTGCCCCTGTAAGCAGAGGAGACTGCACTGCAGCTTGGGCACAAGAACTGAGCTGGAGGGGCCCCCAGAATGGAAATAGTGGGGGTGGGGCTGATGCTGTTTTCTGCCCCCAAAGTATCTCACACAGGCGAGAGCAGGACCAGGAGGGGCTGGCATAGCCGCCGTGGCACACGAGATCGGGCTGGGCACTGGCGAGCAAGTAGGAAGAGTTCTCTTCTGCCCACTTTCCAGCCACTGAGGGTCCTGGAAGAGACACCTGGCTTGGGGCAGGACCACCAGCTGCCAGGGTGCGGGACAGGGCAGCAGCACCTGGGCAGGGAGCATCAGCATGCAGCCCAAAGGGAGGAGCACCAGGCACATCCCACTTAGGAAGTGCTGCAGTGCCCCTTCCCAGCATGAAGCAATCTGCCACACCCTCCCCCCGGAGCCTTAGTAGCACCCCCAATCCCTCCTTTCAGCCCTCCAGCCCCACATTCACAATGAGCAGGAGCCTTTCTCCTCTCCCGTTGTGGATGAAAACTGAGAGCTTCCCCCATGCTTATAGGGGAGCAGGAGAAAAGGAACCATGAGAGAGTGAGAGTTTTCAGCTAAGAAAAGAGGAGATTAAGGGGGGATAGAATAGAGATCGATACAATTATGACAGGTGTGGAGAAAGTGAATAAGGAAAAGTTATTTACTTGTTCCCATAGCACAAAACTAGGGGTCACCAAATGAAATGAATAGGTAGCAGGTTTAAAACAAAAGGAAATATTTTTTCAAACAATGCACAACCTGTGGAACTCCTTGCCAGATGATATTATGAAGATCAGGACTTTAACAGGGTTCGAAAAAGACCTAGATAAGTTCATGGAGGACAGGTCCATCAATGGCTATTAGACAGGATGGGCAGGAATGGTCTCCTTAGCTTCTGCCAGAAGCTGGGAATGAGCAACAGGGGATGGATCACTTGATGATTCCCTGTTCTGTTCATTCCCTCTGGGGCGCCTGCATTGGCCACTGTTGGAAGACAGACAGGATACTGGGCTAGATGGAACCCAGTTTGGCCATTCTTATGAGAGAGCAGCATAGACACAGGGAAAAAATAAGCACAAGGCACAAGAAGAAAAAGCAGGCCCAAATTTCCAGCTGCAAATACAAGAGACTGTGACTGCCAGAAACGTCAAGGGTCAGTATGTGGCCACATATTGCATAAGGATCATCTCATGTTTTCAAGCAGAGACAAGCAATAACCAACAGCTACGCAACTGGCTTGCTATCACTATAGAACAGATTCCAGGGACTACAACAGGGCACTGGCTGGGAAGTATTGATGGTTCCGGAAACAGGGTGCAAACAGAAAAATTCAGCAATGGGCCTGGGCTACAAGTTGGCAACAGCATCTGCTAAAAAGAGGCAAGGCTGGCAAAGACCTGGCAGCTGAGGAATTCATATGTGTGAGAGGCTCAGTGGAGAAATCTGAGACACGGTCAGTTTGGGTGCTGGGTTGTGTCTTACTGAAAGGGGCTTCACCACTGGTACGTACAGGCAGTACCCTTACATGACAGGCAGGAGTTGTGTTGAATTTCATGGAGGATGAGCTAAGTGCACATTTGTTGCCCTGCAGCTAAGACTTAGACTATGAATTATGGTCTCAAAGCACACAGCCGACTCCATTCTGGTAAGTGTGAAGTGGAAACAATGTTCCCTCCACACTGATCCCAAATGGTACACACGTTCTGGAACTTCCTATGCTGTAGGCCCTGT